TTTGACATTTTGAATTGTATTATCGTGTGGAAAATAAAGAAAATTTTGTCTTAATTCCTAACAACTAGTATTAGAATGTTAGGTGGTAAAAGTGTGAAATACAATGTGAAAAAAATTTGATGATATCAATTTTAACTTGTGACAATTACAAATTAAGGATGTCTTTGTTTAAACTGATATGCACAAGGCATTGAAAGGAAAACCAACCCTTAGTTCCAAAAAATGCTAAGAATCCAATGTGAGCGACGAGGATAGAGAATTCTGTGTACTTTCATTATAATATGTTAAATGAAAGTTCATTCAATATCGTATTTTTTTTATTTTTCCTAGAAAATTTATTTAGCACTTAAAAGTGATTTTTAGTTCGATTCTTCTCGTGAGAGTATGATAAGAATTCAAAATAATCTTGACACTCTGGGTTGTCTAATCCATGACTGTTCAATCAAAAAGAAGATAAATGAAATTCCAAAACGAAAAGAATAAAGAAAATAAGAGTAAGTGTACAAGCAGCCTTCCACCCTTTACTCTTGGAGGCATAATCTGCGATTTACCTTTTTCACCAAACTCTAGGACATGGCACGTGTGGACCGCCAAAAATGTGGTTCATCTTTTTTTTAACTATAGTTCTTTTATTGCACCAAAACTTTGTACTACTGTGCGTGACCCAAATTTGAGTTCTAGGGCATCATCAATAACCTCTAATTGGCAGTAAAAGAGATAAAACAAGTACACATACGACTAATACTTAGGCCCTGTTTGAGTCAGAGTGAATAATGCATTTTAAATAGCAATTTGATGTGAAATATGTGGTTAAAAATTAATAAAATTTTTTAAATTTACGTGTAATATTATTTTATTGAAAAATGTGTTGTTGAAAATGAATTTTTGTAAGAATGTGAATCAAATGGGATGTTAGTATTCAGCTCTACATAGCCACTATAAAGAGAAATTGGAGAAAAGTAATGTTTTAAATAGTGACTTTTTGGAAAATGTTTGATTAAAAAGTAAGGAAAAATTTTCGATTTACATGTAAAATTATTTTATAGGAGAATACGTGGTTGAAAATGAATTAAAAAAAAAAATAATTATAGAAAAATA